TCGGTGCGTCCGTCCGGTGTCCTTTCTTCCGTCCGTCCGTCAGTTCGTCTGTCTATCTATCTGTCCGTCCGTCCGTGCGTCCGCTCCTCACTCTGTCTGTCCGTCCGCCCATTTGCATGTCCATCCGTTCGTCCGTCTAATTAGTGTACACTCGAAGTACCGCCATCTCACATCTTTTCATGATGTATTCATTATATACAAGTGCCGCCATTTAGTGGACATTCTAGGGACTGCTCTCTCGGGTATGCGCCACCGGTGGTTACAAACGATAACGGGAGACGAACGGGTGGCGCCATAAGGAGATTCGCCCTTAAAAAAGGCGTAGACCGAAGAGAAACTAGTAAGGTAGCCCAGCTCCACACTGGCTTCGCTCGTGTCAACACTAGAACAATGGAGCCTTTAGTTTTTGTTGTTTATTTTTATTATTTTTTATTTTTTTTATGCCTTTCGTTCCTGTACGACTACTGCCCGTATGGAAAAAAAAGTCTGACCCGCATCTTCGGACTTGGCAGCTGTAAACCCAAGCCGCTTCGGTATCTGAGTCAGTGCGGGCAACAGTGAGCCCCACTTTAAAAAAGAGGGGGGGGGGGGGGCTCAGTGCAAGCATTTTACATCCCAGTTATAGAATGGCCCAGTAGGTGACTCTATGTGCGGTGGCTGCATTTTCGATGGAAGCAAAAAGGATGTAGTGATGCATGCTAAGGAACACTAAGTGGTAGAATTCACCGGACTCCGATTTTCGCTATATATCGCTTCCGTAATGAAAAGTACGGTGACCAAGTGCTTTGTAACTAAGGCCATTTTCTGGCCAACATAACGAGGGCATTCGTTGCAAAGTCAACGAAAGTATACTTGATTTGCATTTGCTTTATCCGCATAAAGCGTTTTGTAACAACAAAGTACCTTTTACAAAGGAAGCACTTCAAGTTCGTCGAACAGCACCGAGCTTGAAATGCTTCCCCGAGAAGCGCTGAGCGTAAAACGTGTGTCTGCGCGCGCGCGCGCGCCTGTGTATATATATATATATATATATATATATATATATATATATATATATATATATATATATATATATATATATATATATATATATATATATATATATATATATATATATATATATATATATATATATATATATATATATATATTGGCGCTACGCTTGCGCCTCAGCTCCAGAACGTCTTCATGATATCAGAAATTAGCTTTCTCTTTGATGGCACGAAAACTGTGGAGAAAGTCATAACACGCTCTCTCACTCGTCTGTGAAAAAACACCACCACACAAAGCTCCCGTGTATACCGACGGCTCTGAGCAAGTATGAGGTTTAGGGAACCCTGACAAGATATTGTATTTCGAGATTAACGGCAACTATCGCATGGCTCACCTACTGGCATTCAAAGTAGTGTGACGTCATTCAAAGGTGTCGATTCCGGTGACTCCACGCATCGGTTTGGCTACTTGTGGTGACGTTAGGTATTAAAAGCGTATGAAAGGCGGCTCGTGTGTTACCAATGGAACCAGTGAGCAGACAGGCCGCGGAAATGTCACGGTATTTTGCACGAGCACGTTAAGAAAAGCTGATACCGTGGTTTTTAAAAATAACTCAGGGTAGCAAAAAGAACAGAACTAGCACAAAAACTGAGAAGGAAGTCATAAGACGTTGTCAAACGTCTATGAAAAAAAAAACAACAACGTGATAGCATTGAAGACCTCGTTTCGGCGTCGTTGGTCGTGAGTGAAAAATCATCATCTTGTACGTAGCTGAAAATTGAGAAAGATGCAAATAAAATAAACATGGATCTATCCTGGGACCGAGTGGCGATCTAAACCGAGTTGCTTGAGTAGAAAGCGGGTGTTCCACCACACAGTCATTCGTCTGCTTGTGAAAACAATGAAACTAACTTCCTGTGCTTCGATATACAGTGAAAGGAACTTTCACGCTTTACAAACACGCGTCCTGTATACATGCTTCACAGTACAACATGAAGTATTACAGTAATGATGCGTTACAAGGGTACATTGCCACCGGGCGTCAGAACAAGTGATTATCATAATGAATTCCAGGTTTAAATCACGTCACCCTCTACAAAATGCACACACGTTACTGCGCCTAATCCCTTAAAGGGACCGGCCGACAACTGCCCCGAACATGAAACAAGCCGACTGCACGGATGGAAAGATTGTCCCTCCTAGTGACTCGAACCAACGTTGTTTTTCTTCTGAGGAGTGAAGTTTTATTTTTATTTCTTCGTTGAAGATTGCGAAGATAGCCTGTGGCACCACCTAGTGGCAGACACTTCAATTATTTGAAGTGACCTGTCATGTTACCATAAACTAATATACACGTTCAACATTTTACAGCGAAAGCTGTTATGAGATCACCACTCAGGTCTCGCGCAGCGCCGTAATTGTCCGCCACCGCCGCTGGTGTCCGTAACCACATCGCGCGAAATTAAAAAAAAAGGAAACCTATTACCAATGAAACAATAAGACTCGAGCCCGGGTCTGCTGCGTACCAGTCAAGCATACTACCACAGAGCCATTCCAGTGCTTTGGGCTTGTTGGCACACTTGCCTTAGGCAGCTTGATCTCGGGAAAACAATCGCGTTACTACGACTTATAAAGCGTTTTGAAACAGCGAAAGAACAAGCAGTCGTCGCACAATGCGAATAGCGTAACGAGGGGGTCGTCCAATGCTCCAACCCATCTCAAGAGCTTCTTTTTGTTCAGCTATTAACTCTGGCGCATACCCACTTCAGGCATGATTCCCCATCGTCGCCAGCCTGCATGAACAATTGGCACGAAATTCCTCGCATAGTTCAGCGGATACTACGCTCCTCAGAAGAATGATGAGAGAGACAGATAAATAGAGAGCAAAGGCAGGGAGGTTAATAGAAGAATGATGAAAATAGCATAGCGAAAGCCGGCCTACTACCCTAAAATTTTTATTATGATGCCGTAGTGGGCATCAAGCAAGTGTGCTTGCAGCAGTTACCGAATGAGTGTTTAGAAAAGGCTCTGAAAGGCCGCTCTTCTAGCTTTCGCTGTGACTGTACTGCGCCTTCCGCGTAGGCCTGGCGTTTTTTTTTCTGTTAGTATTGAAATATTGTTTCCTTCTTTACAGTCAAATATATTACTCCATAAAAATTTACATATTGGCCTTGCGTTAGTAGTATGCATAAAAGTGGCGCTGCCTTCGCATGACGTAGTGATCCCACGCTCTGCGTGCTCACTTTATTGCTAGATCATGAAACTGTGCCCGCAGTTTGCGGACCGCTAAGATTTTGGGGCGACGTGGTTTTTCTACCTACAGTTTGTCTCGGAAAAGACTTGCCCTGCTGGTCCGCAGTGCGCAGTGACGTTATCGGTGAATTGGCTTGGCTCGTAACGATGGCGGCACGAGCAATCCACAACACAGATGCAACAGGCGCATGCAACGTGGTACAATTACAGCGACGTTGTATAAAGCCACATTGTCTCACTGGAACGGCTTGTTATTTTCAAAAAATAACTGTAAAGATCAGAATAAACGTGCCTAAGCAAAGTTACAGGAACTCCTGTGAAAGCAGAACAACGACGGCATGCACAAGTCGCCAGAGAAGCTACCGGCATCGCTATCAATTCTCAGTGTTGCTGGATGAAAGAGCTCATCCGTGTTCAGAGCCTTTGAGATAAAAAAAAAATTCTGCTTATAATATAACTACGTGCTTTTGGGTTAACTACTGCATCTACGAACACTACGAAGGGTATGCTTTCTGTTGCACCGCAAAAAAAATTGGGTCGAAGAAAATCACTGTTCGGACCCTTTAGAGCCACGTAGTGGATGCATAGCAAGTTCGAAAAGATTTCATGCACTAAGTGTTTGAAGTACGTAGAAAGGATAGGATATCGCTATTGCGTTCAATTCTAAAAGGTGAAGCTCAAGGATCTCCCCAATTTTTAAACTCTTTACACGCCTCTAACATAACAAATCGATAGATTGCAAACTGTCAGACGTTTTACTTTGACCGACTGCTCGATCGTCTGGCGATGCACTGAGCGTCGTGTGTACAATAGCGGGCGCTGCGCCAAATTAGATTCTAGGCGGCGCCGCGCAGTCTGGGATGCCTTCGCCCTGAAAAAAAAAAAGGAGACCCACAACAACCGGAGCCCTGTCGTCAAGAGTCTGCAGGGTTCTTTTTCCTCCTCATTTTCTTCAGAGAGAGCTGCTGCACCCAATAAAAAAAGGAGTGTGTATGATTAAAAAAATAAAGGCACAAATAAAGTAGGAGGAGAGGAGCAGTACGATGGCCGGAAGTTTTCGCGGTGAAATATAAGAACGACGAAATACGGGAGTACACGACGCTACACCAAGCTGACCGCACGGACACCAACATAGTTCGAGAAGCGCTCCTGCAGACGATCGGGCGCTAGAGCGAAACGTAACAGCCCGATAGGCGCCCGCCGGTTACGTCACTGCCCGGGCTCGACCAATGGGGAAGAGGGGGAAACTCGGAGCGCGTCGTCGCGCTTGCCGCGCCCTGTTTGAGAGGGGGGGGGGGGGAGGGGGGTTCTTTTCAATAGGGAGCCGGTGCGCGGAGAAGTGTGGACCGCGGGAACCCCGAAAGCACGCGCACGCGCGTGGAAAGGAGGTCACTGGGGATAGCGCGGGAAAAAAAAGCGCGCGCTTACCCGGCGAGGACGACGCCTGTCAAAAGGCGAGCAGCATCTTGGCGAGCTCACACTTCCGCGTTCTCTGGGGCAAGCGGGGACGTTGCGCGCGCGCGCGCGTGACATCAAAGTTTAGAAGCGCGGGAAAAGAGAACAAAAAGGAAGTGGGTAGCGCTGGTTCCTCCGTATTGTTAGCCAGCTTGCTCACCGGTGCGATCGTAGTAGCCCCTTTTTCGAGTCGCTCCCAGGCTTCTTGCGAGAACATTTCCTCTTTTCGCCTCCGCCTTCAACTTTGCTCCTGTTTTTCTTCCTAACCCCTTGCTGCCCCTTGCGGGATTCGAACCTAGAGCATCGTAGGAGACCGAGCATGCCTGAACAGAGCAACGACTACAGGGTCGTCGTGTTTGGAGCCGGTGGTGTCGGGAAAAGCTCCCTGGTGCTACGCTTCGTCAAAGGAACGTTCAGGGAAAGCTACATCCCCACCATAGAGGACACCTACAGACAGGTGAGTCGCACTGCTACTTCGAAGGCCTCCGCCAGGATGCATTTTCGATTGATTGATTTGATTGGCGTTAAACATCTGCCATACGAAAAGGAGCACTGAGAGCCTCCTATTGTGCAGGACATGCGTTTAATTTCAATCAGCAAAGCCGTTTTTAGGAATTCAAAAAAAATGTACGCATTCTTTTTTTTCTTTGCGCTTTTCAGCCAGTGGAGTGCGTCTGCCTCTGCAATTGAATTAAATAGGTGCTCTTGAACTCAGTAGCAAGGAGATATATAGCCCGTTCAACGTTCACTGCGGATCCCTGCTGGGTTGATCCACGAGAAATGTTTCCAGACAATAAAACAGAATCAGGAAGAAAAAAGGATATTTTAATGTAACACATTCAGAAAAATACATTATACAAATCATTAAAGCGCACGCTAGGGTGAGGCGGCGTTAAATTTTTTAGTCTAAATATCTGTAAATGTATTATTTTTTACCGTTGTCTTACAAGATAGCGTGGGAGGAGCAAGATATGAAAAATAGGAAATGCGCGCTGCGGCACCTTTGCATTTTTGTGCTTGCTTTACACATGATAGCAAACCTGTTTGGGTATTTTATATCGTGAGTGGGTGAAGCTATAAATTAACTGAAAGGTTTATTCAGTAGCGCATCTAATTATATCTGGCGTTTTACGTCCTAAAACCGCGATATGAATGTAAGGGACGTTGTAGTGGAAAGTTGCAGATATTTGGACCACTGGGTATTTTTGACGTCATCCTAAATTTAAGCATACGGGCCTCAAAGCGTTTTCCGCGTTCATCGAATGCGGCCGCCACGGCCGGTATTTTATCCCGTGACCTGCGAGTCAGCAATCTAGTGCCTTAAGCACTAAACCACCATGGCGGGGCTCAATGCGGTTTTTGGCCATGGAAGAGAGCTGGCTTATTTTAGGTTCTTATTTTCATTTTTTTTATTTTGCGTTCTGCATGTCTTTATTTATATGTGTGCTGCTGAACCCCGGTAATGTTAAATGTTCTTAAAATGCGCGATAAGATGAGGACACAAATAAACAACACCCATAACACCAGAAGCACTGTGTCTTACTTGCGCTCTCCTTTTTTTTTTTCGCAGAGTTATATAACGTCTGAAAACTGCAAACCGACTATCCCAACAGAACGTCTGACCCCCTTGTGCCTGTGGTCATTAGCATTAAGGAAGGATGCTTGTTTTGGCTAGTTGGTATCCATTCATCACTACGTTGTCGCGCACCGCTTAGAAGGTGAGGATAGAACTGCGCAGCTGTTCGCACAGTTTCGGTCCTCGTCTCCGCAGCGGTGCGCTTAACACACTCCCACAAGGTCCACTCCGGCGGGCGCCTGATCGTTTCCGCGCTCCGAGCCAGGGTCGACAACCTAGACCTCGCGGTCAAGGGGCCGCCGCCATGGAGTTCATCGTCCGGGCAGACGGGAGGGGCCAACCTGTCCCACCTTCGGAGGCGCTCGATCTTTTTTTCCCTAGTCGCTCCCTGCCGGCGAGACCGGCGTCGCTACCACGGCATTTGCTTCTGACGGCGGCGTTACTTTACCCAAACTAGTGTGTACCCTTTTCTTCATTCAATTCGTCATTTAGGTAATACTTAAGCAAGTTTAACTAACGTGTAGCTTGTGCATATATTTCTACCCCCCTTCCTCCGGTATATCCTCTCCTTCGGGGTGACCTCCGTTCCGCAGCTTTCTCTCGCCTCCGATGATGGCGCGGTAGCGGCGCTTGCTCAAGTGGCGCTGTCTGTCGGATCAAATCGAAACTGCTACGCTCGAACACGGTGGGACTCCACTCCGCTCGAAGACCGCGCACCCCTTTTCTTCACTCTGAGGCCCAACCACTATTCATTCTTTCTTTTTTAGTATTATCTTTATTTTAGCGCGAAGCGTTTTCTGGGTAGCAAGTGGAGGTTCGAGCAGTTCTTCTTCGGCCCCTCTCAGAAAGCGCATGACTATAACTAAAGTATTTATTTATTTACAGGATACCTTCATTTACTCGCAGGCATTATATCGTATAGGAGACATGTTTAGTATCACATTCTACATGTTTCGCCGTGGCAAACAGCAAGAATATATCTAACAAGGTTAACATCAAAGTAAACAATAGGTTGGCGTTTTCAAAGCTATCAGAAAGCTCAGAAGAAAAAAACTAGGACAATTATGCTTTACTTTAAGAACTATCAAAAATAAAATAATGATTATCATATATAGAAACATACTTTTCTGGTAACACGTTCCAATATTGTATACTTTGGGGAGTATGCAAGTATGAAAAGAAAAAAAAAACTACGGTCATGTAATGTTGAACATACGAACTTTCCATTAATTCTATCTAGTTGATATACGCTCTGAAACAATGAATGCTGAAAAAAAAACGTGGTAGGACTCGCTTTTTTTTAGAAACAATATTATTGACAGCTAGTTAGTTTTCATTAAAAACGAAATGCGTGGTCTTCCAGAGTTCGTGTCTGAAAATATTGTTAATATATCTGGACTGGTCAAATTTGGGTACTGCTGGCTAATAATTATGAGTATTGGCTAGTTTAGTATGGCAAATATTTGACCATTAGCGCTTTTGCAATAACGTACCAGAATCATGGACGTGTGCTACTCGATTCACTCGGCTAATTGCATTGCACATTGAGACAACGTTAATAAACACTTTCACAATGCGCAATGCACTTAGCAAACTTAGTCAAAATTTCATGAAAAAAAAATAATAACGACGGAGACGCCTTAATCTGACCTTAACTCCGGGAGCTGCGACGCAGTCTATTCTTTCCTGTGTTCGTTTTTTCGCCTCGCGCTACATAAATTTCTTTCAAATGCTTCACCAACAAGCCTACATCGCCACTCTTGAAGACATTACCGCTTGTCGTAGCGTTGATTCAAGTTACACCCATCTGTGTTTGAAAATTTCCCATCTCTCCAAGTTTCCATGTTCTCATCAACCTGTGCCTTATAATGTGGCACAGGTTGTTTTCGCACGCAGAAACAGCAAAAAAGATCTTTATTGTCCTAAGAGCGAAGCTGTTAAAGCTGGTAGTGAGACATCCGCTGACAAAAAAAAAAAAAAACTCTGCTGCGCACTTGCCATAGCCACTGCCATAGCTTCGCGCCACGTGTGCTAAAAACTGGCACTTCCGTGTACGAATACAACCGAGACTCAAATGACTATCTGATTTGATCTCACTCCTGGCTTTCATGAAGGTGGTAGGGAGGGGAGAGCATATGCTTCGGTGAGTGGCGGGAACGACTGGGCGAGTGTGCGTGCGGCACGCGCAGCGCTGCATGCACGAGCCATCTGCCGCCGCGGCAGGGTGCAGGGAGCTTCGACGGTCCGGCGGTCGCCAGGCACTTTTTGCCGGAAATCAATGGCACCTGCTCGACCTGTCATGTGCTCGCCGACACATATCACGTCGTAGCATCGTGCCCAGTTAATCCCGTCCCTTTCTCATCCCCTTTTCCTATCCCAACTAGAGAGGCTTGGGAGGAGCACCTGCTCGGCTGCTCTACCTTGGCTGCACAACGCTCCTTGGTGGAGCGCGCACGGGCAGCTTCCAGCTCCACTGGCGTCCCGGAATAGGGTCTTGCCACTCTAGCACGCCGATGGGCCACGCCGGCACTCTCTAGTAAACTTTTTCTGAAATAAATGTTTTTTACCACCACCACCTTCGACGGCGGTGACGGCGAAGTGTTGGCCTAAGGAGCTTCGCTCCTAAAGATAGCCCAGCCGCCCCGCGCTGAGGAGCGCCCGCAGCCTAGACGTTGCCATAGCAACCGCCACAGTTTCTTACACCATGGCTCTGTGACAGCGATCGCAATTCATTCAGACTGGCAGGATTTGCGTGTATTGCGGATCCGCCCGTCGTCGTCTCTTGAATGGCTCTCCATCTTTCGACCAAGCAAACTGGATCTAATTGCCGCCGGCGTTGTGATTCCCGTGGTGAAGCACCAGGAACCGAGGTACAACCAGTGCCCTGTGCCGAACTTTGCACTGCTTAGCACAAACTTCTCCGATTTTTTTTAAATTAAACGTTCGGCAGTTTATAACCCTCTCCGATAGCCGGATCTTTCATGTAAATGGTATCCCCTTAATCGCGTAACTCACTCCACAGTTTTAACCAGGAGAACGAGCGAACAAGTGCAAAGGTGTGAAGTGTGTTGATGGAAGTGTTTGTGTGTTTGTGTTGCAGGTGATCAGTTGCAACAAGAACGTGTGCACGCTCCAGATCACGGACACGACGGGCAGCCACCAGTTTCCCGCCATGCAGAGGCTCAACATCTCCAGGGGGCACGCGTTCATACTCGTCTACTCCATCACCTCGGCCCAGAGCCTGGAGGAGCTCAGGCCCATATTCGAAGTCATACGAGAGGTGATTCACACGCTGCTCGCCCTTCCCCGCGCGCAGGGTAGCGGATCGGATGCAGCAGGGCTGGCCTTCCTGTCTCCCTTCTATTATCATTTCCTGTTGTAAGGTCCAGTGCTTGCAAAATACAAGCGCAAAGGTGACAGGCACAAGAAAGGGCGCAGCACTGACGCTGACACCAATTGAGAGCCTTCATTGCTTCAAGAGGAAATATATAACCAAGCCCCGTTCTCGCCTATTACTAGCGCATGCGCCCCGCTGGTCAAAGCAAAACACTCAACATACGTGACATCTGCTCCTCTCTCCAACTACTTTCTCTCCTTGAGCAGTGTCACTTCTTAGGTAGATGAGGCCAAAGTTGGCTGCAGATGAAAGCCCTATCAGAGGGACTTTCTACCGCTCGGAAAACTTTTACTGATTGTGGCCCAAATGAGAAGATCATTCATCACGCCGGCGGCAACGAGCACGCTTTTGTCTCGTGAAAAAAAAAAATTACAATTTTAACTTGATATTGAAAGTCGACATAAAATGACCACTAGCGTCACCCAACAGTGATGTGGTAAATCTCGCTAATTCTCGCTAGTAGACATATTTTGCTTAAAAACAAACATGTATTGCTTGTAACTGTGTTTTCCGCACTTGAGGCAGAGGCAGCGTCAGAGACTAAGTTTTGCTTTTTTTTTTTTTTCCCTCTCATGCCTGCCCCTCTCATGCCAGTAGGCCTGCCTGCGAACGGTGCAGAAACGCAAGCACGGCGTCTGCCGCCGCTCATAAGAACAACAAAAAAGTGTGTGCGTGCCTTAAATTGCCACAAGGTATTTGTTTTATTAATAATAAACAAAAATAAACTTGATGAAGCTGCAAGGGCTGGATTCAGTTTCAGTTTTCCACTTTCACCGTCCCTACAGTTGTGATCTCCTCCATCAAACAGTGTTTTGGGCATTCATCCCACCGATGGAAGGAGACCGGATCCAGACCAAAATTTCAGTTTTAGGGATTTCTACACACTGTCCAGAGAAACCGCTGCAAGGTTAGACACTTCATATGGTACGTGTCGTGCGATCTTCGTGTGGAAACAAAACTTGTGTTTCAGCAAACCGCGCTTCGCATCGGCCCGTAGCACAGCCTACTGTGTCAGTGGTTTCTTTCCAAGGAAGACTGGTGCTCTCTTGCGGGTACTCGCACATAGGTAAAAACCCCTAAACCACCTTGTTTCTTAAGGGGCCCTATTAAGAACTTCCGAAGATACGAATGTTTCGTCTCATTCACACCTGGAGTGTCCCATCTATCCGGCGCTATTCGTGACGCCGTCAAACCATTCGCGTCACGTCATGTGGAAGTACACTCCTGATGGGATATCAGTTGCGGATTGTGTCCCACCCTGCTTTCCCATTAAAGTTCCATCGGCGACATCAGGCGACATTAGAGTTCAATCAACTGAAGGACCAAGCCGGATTTCGTATGGTCTATCCAGAACAGACAATATGCATAGAAGAAATCAGGTAGAGAAATGCGCGGTACAACCAACCACTATACGTAGTTTTCACAGATTACGAGAAGGCGTATGACTCAGTCGAGACAGTAATGCATGCAGGCACTACGGAGTCGGGTGATCGACGAATCCTACATAATCCTATTGGAAGAAATGTAGAGTGAATCCACAGCCGCCATAATTATTCACAAAGAAACGACAGAATTCCGATGAAGAAGGGTGTAAGGCAGGGAGACAGGATATCTCCAATGCTATTCACCACGCGTTTAAAGGAAGTTTTCAGGGCCCTAAATTGGGAAGAGTTAGGTATAAGAGTTATGGGAGAGTATCTTAGCAACCTGCGATTCACTGAAGACATCGCCTTGATTAGTAAATGAGGGGACGAATTACGGCTCATGGTTACTAAACTGGACACAGAAAGCATAAGAGTAGGTCTCAAAATTAATATGCACAAAATTAAACTATTGTGCAGCAATATCGGCAGAAAACACTTTGTGATACGTGAAGAGGGGCTGGAACTTGTAAAGGAATATGTCTACTTAGAGCAGGTAGTAACCGTGGAGCCGAACCATGAGAGTAAAATAACTAGACGAATAGGAATGAGATGGATCACATTCAGAAAGCATAATCAAATAATGAATGGTAATCTGCCACTAACCCTCAAGAAAAAGGTATGTAACAGCTGCCCCTTGCCGGGACTTACCTACGGAGCAGAAACCTGTAGGCTTACAAAGAGGATTGAGCTTAAATTGAGGACGACGCAGCGAGCGATGGAAAGGAAAATAATAGGTGTAACCATACAAGACAAGAAGAGAGCAGAGTGGGTCAGGGAACAAACCGGGGTTAAGGATATCATAGTCGAAATCAAGAAGAAGAAATGGACATGGGCCGGGCTCGTAGCGCGCAGGCAGGATAACAGCTGGTCATTAAGGGTAAGTGACAGGTGGTTTTCCAGAGAAGACAAACGCACGAAGGGAACACAGAAAGTTAGTTGGGTCGATGACATTAAAAAGTTCGCGGGTGTAACGTGGGGGCAGAAAGCACGAGAACGGCCTGATTGGTGGATTATGAGAGAGGTATTTGCTTTGCAGTGGGCGTAGTCATGATGATGATGATGATGATGATGATGTTGATGAATACAAAGCGACCTAAACAAGTGCTTGAGAAAAGGGTAGCAGGGAGCTGAAAGGTCTGCCGCCAACCTTTGTTTCCTCTGGCTTTTGGGGCATTTTTTCCCAAGTTTGCTCTGTTATGTATCCCTTTGATGTCAAGCAACTTGCCCATGCAGCCGAAAGCCTTACTTGAAGATAGTTGTTCGAAGCGTTGTAAATCCTGACAAGCTTATCATTTGGTGGAGGAGATTGTCCCCGTGTTTTATGAATAAATGAGTGGCGAGGAGAATACATCGCCAGTAGGAAGGTAAGAAAAGAAGGGACTTCCATTGGTCTACGGGTCTTTTGGAGAGAAAACACAACCGGTGCAACGTATCTCTTCAGGTGTGATACCTCTGTACAGTGCTCGCCCTGAACGACTGCTGGTTCTCTCGCAGGTGAAGAGCGGAGAGACCGAGGGCATCCCGATCATGCTGGTGGGCAACAAGTACGACGAGGCGGAGTCTCGCGAGGTGCCGCCCGAGACCGGCCAGGAGCAGGCGAAGCGCTGGTCGTGCGGCTTCCTCGAGACGTCGGCCAAGACCAACCACAACGTGCGCGAGCTCTTCCAGGAGCTGCTCAACATGGAGAAGCGCCGTTCCGTCTCGCTTCAGCTCGACACCAAGAAGACCAAGTCGCAGCTTCGCAAGGAAAAACTCAAGGGCAAGTGTCTCGTCATGTGAGGAAACCCCCCCGACGCCAGAGGAGACGCCGACGAAGAAGCCACCACTCGATAAACACACCACACAAACACTCATCCGACACGAACGCATACATGTTCCAACCTTCACGTGCGGCCTCGGGGCATTAGGATACCTGTCGAAACCACATGGGCACAACCACATGGACGGGATTTCCCCGAGCGTCGAACGGCGCTCCATCACGAAACTTCTATTTCGTAAGCGCGTTTTTATATGGACCGGTTGGTGTTGTTATTGATGTGTGTCAAGTCGTGATTGGCTCAAATATTCTCTTATGAAAAATTTTTTAAACGTTTTTGTGAATACAGCCGCAGGTCTGTAGGCGTCGACGCTCCGCTTCTTTTATCATCGCCAAAATTTCTAGATTTTTTCACCCCTTTGTTTCAGTATATAGCGGTATGTTTCTCCTCTCTTGGCCCGCTCGTCCGCGCAGTCAATATCCGCCATGTTCTTCCTAACCTTGAGTCTTGCAGTTCTACGAAAGTTGTAGTAGGCAAGGTGTGACGCTCGCGTTCCCCTCTGCCCCTTGCTGTCTCTCACCAGCTTCCCCTGATGAAGTTGGTGAGACAGTAGGAGACAAAGTAACCTTGCAAAGTCGCGACTTTGCAGGGCGAACGCCTAGAGAAGCGTTACGACGAGAAGAACGTCGATGCCGGAAACGAGTGTGGCTCGATGAGATTCATCAGCGGCGCTTCATTGGTTGTCGCTACTTGAAGGAAAGGAGAAGGAAAATCTAGGCACTTGAGTGAGCGCATGCTTTAAAAGCTGCCTTCCCATTCGGCAAACAGAAGCAACCATGCTCGCCTAGTGGTTAGTTAGGATGAGTACAAAATAGTCGCTTTAGCAACGGCGACGTGGGAGAACGTGGGACAAGGCGTTTCATGTGGGTGACGCTTCAAACGTTTGCTGAGCTCCGATGTGATCTCTCGATGTACCAGTTTTGCTTAGTAAGCCGACACATTCTAGTTTAAAAGGTGGTCGCTTCTGAGTTTTTTTTTCTTTTTTTATAACCTATTGACTTCCACGGCATGGTCCGGAAAGGCACTTTCTTTTTTTTTTTTTCAAATTTGTTCCCAGAGATAGAGCCAAAATTGACGGGATGCTTATGCCAGTTTTCTATGTTCTGCCTGCGTGATTCAATTGCTCTTTGATTGAACGTAGGGGCCTACAATTACCGCGATCAGCATTTGTTCAGCTCTAAGAAACGTCGGGGCATGCGCAAAATACAATTTGAACATCCGGCTGCCAGTATCACTAACGTCGGAAAGAAAGAGAGCGATACTTCAAAACACTAAGAAGAATGGTTTCCATGCATTGCGACATTCCCACCCCCCCTTTCGCGCCGTACACAAATACTGGCATGTCGTGCTGTGGTTTGAATATGCTTATAGATGGCTTGCATTGACGTCACAGAAACCAATACGCCGGAGTACCAATAGGATGAGTCGCGAAAGTTGCGATGTCTCTTTGACGTAATCAATACGTTGCACGCATGTTCTTCATTTAATCACTCACACTAGCCAAAAAGAAAACGTTACATTGGCATCGTTAATACATTGTAGATGCTTAACTGCCACGTCATTGCGATATTCCGACGTCGTAAAACCTCGTCATGACGGAGCACCAGTGTGTTAAGAACCTGCGTCTGTGAAGTCACGTGCAAGCTGTCCATTGCAGTCATCGCACTCAAAGTTTTCGCTCGTGCCATGATGGAAGGCACTTATAATAATGCCGTTTTTTCGAGGCCGTACGTGAGCTACAGCGTACTTAGTGCCGTTACGGACGCTACGTGCATTTTGCTAAAACTTACACGCACACACACAGACAAGAAGCGAACGTTTTTCATTTTCCATTTTGACACTTTTGGTACACGGTCCTTGTGCTTACCTGGTCACGCTACGGACCAGAACGTACTCGCAGGTTTTTTTCTAAATAAGAAAGCACCCACGAACGAGAAAGGCGAGGAGCCCCCCGGGGCGCTCGTCTCAGCCGCCGCAACGCTGCGCGATCTGAAAACGTCTGCTGCACTTGCGTTTGTGTTCAACGGTGTGTGTACCTTGTTGACGAGATCACAACTATTGTTACCTGTTGAGATATATTGTTTATTCGCTGTGAGTTATCGCGACAATGCGAGGTGTGTCAACGGTTACGCGGTGCCTCGGTGAATAAGTGATACGGGAAGGAAGGCAAGGGGAACGGGAGAGGGCGTGCATCGCCGGTGACGTCATGAAGCTTATCTTCTGAAAGGGCTACCTATAGCGAGCTGCGTCAGCGACTGCTGTGCCGGAGCGGCAGATTAGGGGTGAGTGCGATTGTATCTCCTCTTAGGAGTTTACATATGTATGCGTTTACATGCGGGTCATCCACATCTGCACATCAATACAACTGCCGGCAATGTTCTCGGACCGTTACAATCAACATGTGCAACACCAATAACTAGTGCGCAGCTACATTTAACTCGAAATTAAGAAAAAAAATGACTCTACGTTATTTAGTTTAACAGGCCCATCATTTCCGGTCAAATACCAGTAAGTTACATAAATATTTAGACGCACGCATACCAATAGTCTGTAACAAGAAGCCTTCGCTGTGTAAAAAAAAATATATAATCGCTCAACTCCATATTGATTGAAGATACGCAGACACTTTCGCGGTGTATTTCCCAAGCATCTGTAGTCTAAACAAAAGGAAATATCGCCTTTTCGAACTTCGTCGCCAAAGGTAGCACGTTAGAAGACGTGACGTCACCGCGATGGCATTGCGCTCAGCAAACCATATCCAGTAAAGACATATAATCCCTCTGCGGACGTCGAAATAAATAAACTCCGCGTGCTATTTACAACTATTTACCTGCATGCTCGGCAAGCGGCCGCACGACTCGACAGGGGGGCGTTTTTCCCGTTCACCTTTGCCTCTGGTGTGATAACAGCACGCATTTCGCTCGTAGATGGCTCGTATATTTTTTCCTGTGCTTTTTTGTACCGCATAGCCCGGAGAAATTCATAGACGACGTATATTTTCTCATTTTGTTACGTTGAAACGACTATATTTACAGAGCGTTATACGAGTATACGGTTACGCGAAGCAGACTTTGAACCCCTGCGGCATGTTTGAACAATAAATGTGGCGACAGCCCCTTTCCCCCCGAAGTCTGCGTTGACCTTGAGTGGACAAATTTCTCGACCATTCCGCGCGCCGCCACACATTCGTCGAAATCACTTGACTGGCTTCCTCGGGCGACTATTCTCCCAGTCGGTCGCGTGATCAATCTGCTTCCATTCTCTCGCTTCCTCTAATAAGATTGAGCAAGGTGATGGATTTTGCTAAACGGCTCCTCACCAGAGTGCCGGTCGAATTGCGCAAATAAAGTCGCCAGGCCATAAATAACGATATCAAAGGCGAGGCTGGAACTCGCAGTCTCATACTCATAACGGTGTGCCCCACCGGTCTCTGTGCTGCGCGTTACAAGGCTTCCATGCGTTGCGTTGCAGCACCCGTATGTAAACACATCAAGAGGGGCTGTAAGAAAAATCATTACGCGTACATTTAACTTCGTGGTTGCAGTCAGCTCTGCATGCGGGCCACGTGCCGACTGGGATGCCCCAGAAAAAAGGAAAAAAAAAAGTTGACTCCAACAGGTCATGCTCGTTGTCAAGTTATTCATTTCAGTGCATCAGTTGGCGGCCATTAGGAAAGAAATGTGCCACACCCGTGACGTTTTAGGCACAAGGTATGACCCGTCCGCAACTGCCGTTGCGGTAGAACCGGCCGAATCACCTCTGAAAGCAGACGACGGCGTCTCTCGTAGCAGACGAAAATGGCGCCGCTTGCGAGGCGCGCGGACGACCGAGTGAAACGGATGGATTGGCCGACGAGAGTCGACACTTTAAGAGCGTAACAAGATGTTGGCGCCCGTTCGTCCTCGTGGAAGGCGACGGAAGCGCTGTTTTGGTGCCATCGACAACACTCTACGCGGCACGGAATACTCTTCTTAGCACGCTCAACGACGGGAAAACCGGCTACAACGTTTCCCATCGTGGTGCCCAACGACAGGTGCTGACAAATCGCGATCTGTATTCGAGTTTCGAAGAGGCGAACGGGAGTAGGCGAGTTGTGCGAAGTACGTTTCTTTGGTGTAAACGATGGCGAGACGGCCGCGCCACCCATGATGTGTAGTTGCACGTTGTCGGGCCGCACTGGACAGGAGGGGACGTATAGACGCTGCCCCAGCAGTGTTCGATCGTCCACGATGACCGAACCTGGCGTATATAGTATGTATTATACACACACGAAAGCCAAGCCGTATCGCGCATGCGCGGAGTCTTGTTGCAAATGTACATAATGCAAAAACTCAAAAAACAAACGAGCGAGTCCGTTCGAACCATCTCTCCCCACGGGCTCATCTATTAGGCCAGAAGAGTGGACCAGGTATGCAGCTGCTAGCGTTTTGGTTATATATCGCTAAACGTAACTATAGTTCATAGAAAATCAGAGTGTAATACCGCATATAGGTTTGAGCATAATTGAAAAAAAATAACCCTAACTACTTACTAAGCAAGAGCTAACCGTGTTGATATTATAAGATATAGCAACTGTTTTGTCTATTTTTGTTGCTTCTGAAACGACCACGAGCTTTAGAGAGTGGATCAGATGGGAAATTAGGTCTAACGGACCAAGTGGTAACGTTCGGGTCGAATGTAGTACGATTAACGCACGTCACACTTTAAACTCAACACATGCGCAATTTCGCACGCTGTTACCACGTCCTCTGATATTTTCAGCTGGCAGATGTGTCACAAGCGTGTTTGTAAAACTTGATTACGTGAACCAAAACCATAAAACAGCAAAACCAGGACTGAATGGGGACGTCCTGGAACCCGCATGTATTGTAGTGGTGAACAGCGCTAAGTTAAAGTGACAACGAGCGTACTTGATGAATCCAGCCTATAGAAAAATCCACGACTATTCGGTAGTCTTTCGCTGCAGTCGCAGCATGTGAAACATCTCTTACGTAAAGCTGACCAAAGCGGCAACGTAACATCGCGCTAAGGCACCTGCTCCGAACGGCCAGTGGAACTCGGTAAGTCTACCAATAGTACCGAGAACAAAAAGAAAGTATGCCAAGCGCAAAGTGTCGTCCTGCTGTTTTTGTG